ACCTTTTATCAAGGTTCTTAGCTTCCTTGCATTGCATTAGAACATGCTCCTTTAGCTCAGATGAGGATGTTATTACTCACCTTCTGAAGCGTACTTCTGTCAATTTGTCAATGTCGTTCTCCATCCAGTTTTGTGCTCTTGCTAGAGAGGAGTTGCAATCATTTGGAGGAGAAGAGGCATTCTGGTTTTTGGAATATTCAGTGTTTTTGTGCTGGTTTTTCCTCATCTTCATGGATTTATCTACCTTTGATCTTTGAGGCTCATGACCTTTGGATGGAGCTTTTATGTGGGGGTCTTTTATGTTGATGTTATTGCTTTCTGTTTGTTAGTTTCTCTTCTAACAGTCAGGCCCCTCTTCTGCAGGTCTGATGCAGTTTGCTGGAGCTCCACTCCAGACACTCTTCACCTGGGAATCACCAGTGGAGGTTGCAGAACAGCAAAGATTGCTGCCTGTTCTTTCCTCTGGAAGCTTCATCCCAGAAGGGCACCGACCTGATACCAGCTAGGGCTCTCCTGTATGAGGTGTCTATTGATACCTTTGGGGGGTTTCTCCCAGTCAGGAGGCATGCAGGTCAGGGACCCACTTGAGGAGGCGGTCTGTCCCTTAGCAGAGCTGGTGCACTGTGCTGGGATAATCACCCTTGTGTTTTGATTTTTTTTAGCCAAATAAGTTCAAAAAGAAACAAAATTGTTTGAATGTTTTTTTAAACAAGTGAGATTTTTTATAATTCTAAGGTTTTGAGTATACATATATGAGAAATATTGTAAGTGACACTGTTTTCAGCAACAAAATTATATAAGAATGAAACATTCCATCTGTTTTTGAAATGTTCTTTTCTTAGCACAAGTTTCTGTATAAATCAGTATCTTGCTTGTTTAAACATGACCATTACCTTGAAGGGACAGAATAAATGTTTTTTTGTCTTCAAAATGTCGACTTGGACAAAAAGTCATCCAATTTGGATTGGTTATCTTTTTGTATATAAAAAAATATGTTTTACTTATATTTATGTTTGAGGAATCTTGGAACCATTTTTCCAGAAGATAACCAAGTGTTCTCTTGAGCACGTTATGAAGAATCTACCACTTTTTTTTAAACAGATCATTGAACTTTTTGCCATTAGTTTTAATGGCAAAAACTGCAATTACTTTTGCACCAACCTAATACAATGGTGTCAATGGATAAATTCCACATGTATAGTTTGTGATTTACCCTAGAACCCATTTTATTCCAGTAGAAGGAGCTGTTCTATCTGTAGCTACACTTAAGCAATGTTTTGCCTCTCTCTCCCATAGAACAGTGGGATTTTAGACATTGTTATTAAATAGTAATATACTGTTGAAAAACTGTCTTCTCTAGTATCTTTAGAAAATGTATTAGTATGGCTTAACACATATGCACACAATGTACTCTGTACATCTAATTGCTGCAAGGCCATCTCATAAACACTCAAAATTGAAGCAACTTAGAGGCATCTATACTTTTATGCAACTGTACAGCAGCAAGCCTTCCATATTAAAGAATTTGTTCTAGCAGGAACAGAAAACCAAATACCACATGCTCTCCCTAATAAGTAGAAGCCATACATTGAGTACAGATGGACACAAAGACGGCAACAATACACACTGGGGACTACTAAAATGGGGAGGAATGGTGGGAGGCAAGAGCTAAAAACTAAAGAAAAGTTACAGAGGCTAAGTCCAAGGTTGAGGGGCCACATCTGGTCAGGACCTTCTTGCTGCTGGTGACTCTGCAGAGCCCAAGACAGTGCAGGGCATCATATGGAAAGGAGATCGAGTGTGTTAATGTACAATCTCAGATCTCTTTCTCTTCTTATAAAGCTACTATTTCTCCTCCCATGACAAGCCATTAATTTATTAACTCATTAAACTATGAATGGATTAATCCATTCATAAGGACAGAGCCCTCATGATCCAATTACCTCTTAAAGAGCCCCCCTATTCAACACTGCCACATTGGGGATTAAGTTTCAACATGAGTTGAAACTATAACACCTGTCTTTAAATACTTGTCTCTGACAAAGGAATGCCCTTTTAGTTTGTCATGATTTTCTATGTATAACCTCAGTGACTTTTACCTTGAAAGGAAGAACAAGTGTATCTCCTATAGTGTGTGAACTTTGGGGTTTTACTGTACAAAAAGAAATATCAAATGGGTTATATATTTTTAATATTTAGATTAAATATCATATATCTTAAACATGGCTCAAAAAATACCAACACCTGTCTTCAGGCTGTGAATTTTTAGTTCTTAAATGTTTTGCTGTCATGAGGGCTTCCCGCTACCTGGATATAGTATTCCAAGGTACACTATACACATAGCCACCCTTCTAGTGAAATGTTTTCATCGTCATTGTTGTTACCTCTTTGTAGGATTCATGAAGATTTATACCAGGAGTAAGAAAAGCACTGCTCTTCCATTTGGGGGATTTGTTTTGTTTTAATTGTTGCTGTTGTTTACTTTTGTTTACATTATTAGAATCATTTTAAACCTAGGATAATTTTGTAAGAGTCTTTATAATTCATCTTTCCATTTTGGGGAAATGAGTTTTATTCAAACTAGAAAATTATCTTTAAGTCAACCTAGTAAGTAAGGGTAAACTGTAATGCATCACAAGATGCTAAAAGCTGATAAAAGCAGGATGACAATTCAATCAACCTTCCTGTTTGGAAACTTCCATAAATACTAGAAAACTTATAGACAACACTTGGCATGCAATATTTGGTATCAGTTGTCTATAGTCAAATAAAACAGTGTAACAACCAACCACAAACCCTTAATAGCATACAAGATAGATACTTTGCTCAGAAATCTGAGGGGATCAGCTGGCTTATAGCTGAGCCCACTCATGCCTCCAAGATGAGCTAGGGGTCAGTTGGGAGGCTCTGCTGACCTTGGCCAAGCTTGCTCCCATGTCTAAGGGTTGATTGTTAGCTGGTCTAGGATGGCCTCAGCTGGCATTACCCAGGCAGCTCAGCTCTTCTGCAGCTGTCTCTCATCTTCCAGCAGGCAAGCCCACGTATGTTTTCATGGCAATGACAGAGGGTGAGAGCAGGCAAGCTCAATCCTGTAAGAAATTTTCCAGCCTATTTTTTTTTTTTTTTTTTGACAGATTCTCACTTTGTCGCCCAGGTTACAGTGCAGTGGCATGACATTGGCTCGATGCAACCTTCACCTCCCAATTCTCCCAGTTCAAACAATTCTCCTGCCTCAGCCTCCCAAGTAGCTGTGATTACAACTGTGCACCACCATGGCGGGCTAACTTTTTTATATTTTTAGTAGAGATGGGGTTTCACCATGTTGGCCAGGCTGGTCTTGAACTCCTGACCTCAGGTGATCTGCCTGCCTTGGCCTCCCAAAGTGTTGGGATTACAGGTGTGAGCCACTACGCCTGGTCAGAAATTTTCACCTTTGCATAAGGTTTGCTTCCATCCATTGGCCAAAGCAAGTCACATGGCTAAGCTCAGAGTCAGAGTAATCTAGTAACAAATGTGTGGACACAGTGACGAGTGAAGACTTGGGCTATCATTGCCATTAATCTACTGGAATTAGAGTGAGAGTGGCCTTATCAAGAGAATAGTAAATACTACTGGAGCTTAATTTGTTTTACTAAAATAAAAATATTTAACTGTTTATTTTCTAAAACCTGCATATCCTCTGAAGCATGTACAAATCACTTTTGATATTCTTTGTTCTCAAGAGCCTAAGTAATTTTAATGATTTGGTAGATATATTGGTTTATTTTTGCCCCACTAACGATATATGTTATTTTTAAGACCACAAATGCAACTTCAAGAAATGCTGCTAAGCAATCATTTATAGACCAAATACCCTGGCAACAAGAAGAAACCAAAAAATTAGCAGCATTCTTTTAAAAAAAAGTGAAAAGGCTGAACCACTTTAAGAATAATTTTTCAAAATAATTAGATAGTGTCAAAAAGAAAATCAAAATCTCAATTATAAAGTGCTTTTTAAACAACAGCATAATGTAAAATATTACTATACATATAAATACACATTGGATGTGGCTAAATTTCTACTTCAAATTTACTGCTTTAAAATAACTAAACTATTTGACTTAAGGATTTATGAGAAAAGCACATCTAAGAAATGTTTTTAAAATGAAAAAATAAAGGTAACATAAAACACAATATATATCACTTAATGATGGAAATATGTTCTGAGAAGTGCATCCTTAGGCAATTTTGTCGTTGTGCAGACATCATAGAGTGTGCTTACACAAATCTAGATGGGATAGCCTACTGCACACATAGACTATGTGATACATCCTGTTGCTCCTGGGCTACAAGCCTGTATAACATCAATAGTACTAAATACTCTAGGCTATTATAAAACAATGGTTATGTTACCAGAAAGGGGTCCCAATCCAGACCCCAAGAGAGGGTTCTTAAATCTTGCTCAATAAAGAATTCAGGGTAAGTCCACAGAGTAAAGTGAATGCAAGTTCATTAAGAAAGTAAAGGAATGAAAGAACAGCTATTCCATAGACAAAGCAGGGCATTCCCGAAAGTAAGAGGAGGAACGCACTCATCTTAGGCACAATGCTTGTTTATATATAAGATAAAAATCATGGGAAAGTTGTGCTCTACTACAAGGTTTTGTGACAAATGGTTGCTAATCTTTCTGTAGCTACTATCTTTCACCAAGAGTCTACATTATTATCTTTGGAGCGAAACTGACTCTTAAACTAAGATATTGATATGGGGACATAGGACATTTCCTGGGTCTGTCATGTCCTGGATCTGTTTCTGTTTCCTTAACCATAAACATGTTGTGAATAAGAATACCTGACCTCCTGGGAATGTTGCCCAGCAGGTCTTAGCCTCATTTAACTCAGCCCCTATGCAAGATGGAGTCGCTGTGGTTTGAGCACCTCTCACAGTTAGTATTTGTATAGCTAAACATACAAAAGGTACTTAAAAATACAGTTTAATAGATTAAAAATAGTTACCTGGAGGGAAGATGGCGGACGAGGAGAAGCTGCCGCCCGGCTGGGAGAAGCGCATGAGCCGCAGCTCAGGCCGAGTATACTACTTCAACCACATCACTAACGCCAGCCGGTGGGAGCGGCCCAGCGGCAACAGCAGCAGTGGTGGCAAAAACGGGCAGGGGGAGCCCGCCAGGGTCCGCTGCTCGCACCTGCTGGTGAAGCACAGCCAGTCAAGGCGGCCCTCGTCCTGGCGGCAGGAGAAAATCACCCGGACCAAGGAGGAGGCCCTGGAGCTGATCAACGGCTACATCCAGAAGATCAAGTCGGGAGAGGAGGACTTTGAGTCTCTGGCCTCACAGTTCAGCGACTGCAGCTCGGCCAAGGCCAGGGGAGACCTGGGTGCCTTCAGCAGAGGTCAGACGGAGAAGCCATTTGAAGACGCCTGGTTTGCGCTGCGGACGGGGGAGATGAGCGGGCCTGTGTTCACGGATTCCGGCATCCACATCATCCTCCGCACTGAGTGAGGGTGGGGAGCCCAGGCCTGGCCTCGGGGCGGGGCAGGGCAGCTGGGCCTGCTAGCTCCCCTCTTGCCCGCCAGCCAGTAGCCGAACCCCCCACTCCCTGCCACCGTCACACGGTATTTATTGTTCCCAAAATGGCTGGGAGGGGGCCCTTCCAGATTAGGGGCCCTGGGGTCCCCACTCCCTGTCCATCCCCAGTTGGGGCTGCAACTACCAGATTCTCCCTTAAGGAATTGACTTCAGCAGGGGTGGGAGGCTCCCAGACCCAGGGCAGTGTGGTGGGAGGGGTGTTCCAAAGAGAAGACCTGGTCAGCAGAGCTGCCCCGTGTTCCCCCAGGTCCTGGAGGCAGACTTGAGGACCGAGTTATTTCTAGTTAGGGCACGCTCCTCTGTTCAGTCGCAAAAGCAAACACTTGTGCGGCCCAGCCATGGGCCCTCTGAGCAACTGTGCAGCACCCTTTCACCCCCAATTAAACCCGGAACCACTAAAAAAAAAAAAAAAAAAAAAAAAATAGTTACCTGTATAGAGAACTTACCATGAACGGAGACTGCAGGACTGGAAGTTGCTCTGGGTTGAGTCAGTGAGCGAATGTGAAGGCCTAGGCCATTACTGTACACTACTATGCACATTTTCTGAACACTGTATACTTAGGCTAAGCTAAATTTTTAAAATTCTTTCTTCAGTATTAAATTGGCCTTAGCTTGCTCTAGTTTTTTTACTTTATAAACTTTAAATATTTTTAACTTTTTGATCCTTTTATAATAACACTTAGCTTAAAACAAACACATTGCACAGCTGTACAAAAATATTTATTTCTTTACTCCTTATTATATAACCTTTTTTCTATTTACATTTTTTTCTTTTTAAACTTTTTTTATTAAAAACTAAGATGCAAATTCGCACATTAGCCTAGGCCTACACGGAGGCAGGATCATGAATATCATCATTGTCTTGCCCCTCCACATCTTGTCCCACTGGAAGGTTTTTAGGGGCAGTAACACACTTGGAGCTGTCATCTCCTGTGTTAATAATACCTACTGGAATTCCTCTTGAAAGGCTGGCCAGAGGCTGCTTTAAAGCTAACTGTTTTTTTTTTTTTTTTCATAAGTAAAAGGAGTATACTCTAAAATAATGATAAAAAGTATAGTATAGTAAATATATAAAGCATTAACAGTGTCATTTATTATCATTATCAATTGTACCCAATTGGACATGCCATACTTTTATAGAACTGGCAGTGCATAGGTTTTTTTTTTTTCTTTACACCAGCACTACAACAAACAGGTGAGTAATGCATTGCACTATGACATTACAACGGCTACAATGTCACTAGGTGATAGGAATTTTTCATCACATTATAATCTTATGGGACCATTACCATATGTTTGGTCCATTGTTGACAGAAGCCTTCTTACGTGGTGCACAACTGTAATTACAGTTGGCCCTCCATATGCACAGGTTCCTCATCTGAAAATTCAACCAACTTCAGATCAAAAACATTAAAAAATAAATAAGATAATTAATAAATAAATAATATTATTTTAAAATAAATAAGATAAAAATTAAAAAAAGAATGCAAGCAAAAAGCAACACAGTATAACAACCATTTACATTGCACTAGGTATTATAAGCAAGCTAGGAAGGATTTAAAGTACTGGATATGGAAGGATGTGCATAGGTAATACACAAACACCATGCTATTTTGTATAAGAGACTCGAGCATCCTCAGATTTAGGATGGGCAGGTAGGTAAGTCCTGAAACCAATTTCCCAGAGATACTATGGGACAACCGTATTTGCAAAACAGAAAATAGTAAAATTAACAAATAAATTCAAGGGCTGAATTTGAGGGAGAAACAAAAATACAAAATATGCAATGAAAAACAGACAGAAAGTTGATGTACATAATATTAGATTTAGAAAAGGTCAAATAAAGAGGCAGAAAAATTGTTTTTAAATAGAGAATTACATGATTTAAAAGTCCATGTATATGGATTTCAAAATCTTTTAAAAATGGGAAAGTTTTAAAAGCAAATATAAATTATCAAAATAGACCCAAGACTAAATGAGAAAATCTAAAAAGTTTCATCAGTGGGGAAAACTTGAAAATGTTGTTAAAGGATTAAATCCATGAAAGATCACAGGCAGAAATAATTTTCCAGGTGAGTTCTTTCAAATCGCTTACAAAGAAATACTTCAACTACTTTCCAAGCAGCTGAAAATAGAGTACAAAATAAACGAAAACCATAAATCAATTACGAATACAAATGCAATTACTGGTAGTGTTGAATTCAAAATATAGTCAGATAAATATACAACATGACTATGTAAAGAGTAGTCCATGAATATAAGGGATGTTTAATATTTGTGAGTATATTAAAATATTGTGGTATATCAACAAGTTATGAAAATAAAAACCAATTTAGTACCTGAACAGAAGCAGGAAAAGCATTTGATTAAATCAACATCCTATTCATGATAGGGGAAAATACCCTCTCTTAGTAGAAGTAAAAATTAAAGCATATTTCTTTTATGTGACAAAAATTATTTACTTCAAGCCAAGACCAGACATTATTCTTCATGATTCAGTTTAGAGGCATTTCAATTAAATACAGGAGCAAAAAAATGCCTGCCAAGATCACCATTATTTTGCCACTGTTTGGGGAATTCCTTTTTTTTTAATTATTATTTTCTTAATTGACATATCATTATTGTACATATTTTTGAGGTACATGTGATATTTTGATACATGTATACAATGTGTAATGATCAAATAAGGATAATGCCATACCCATCACCTCAAACATTGATCTTTGTGTTGGGGACATTACAATAATTCTCTTCCAGCTACTTTAAAATACATAATAAATTATTGTGAGCTATGATTTTTCTACTGTATTACTGAATACTGGAACTTATTCCTTCTAACTGCATTTTTATACCCATTAACCAAAAATGGGAGAATAAAGTATCATACATAAATATATACATATAATACATATTATATGTAAACACATTTCTGTGTAAAATTTCTTATGCTCACAAAAGGGCTCAGCAAAATGCAATACACCATTCCTTTTTTTTTTTTTTTTTTTTTTTTTTTTGAGATGGAATTTCACTCTTGTTGCCCAGCCTGGAGTGCAATCTCGGCTCACTGCAACCTCTGCCACCCGGGTTCAAGCGATTCTCCTGCCTCAGCCTCCCAAGTAGCTGGGATTACAGGCATGCACCACCACGTCCAGCTAATTTTGCATTTTTAGTAGAGATGGAGTATCTCCACATTGGTCAGGCTGGTCTCAAACTCCCGACCTCAGGTGATCCGCCAGCCTCGGCCCCCCAAAGTGCTGGGATTACAGGCGTGAGCTACCGCACCTGGCCCCATTACCTTTTTATACACAGAAAAATACCAATAATTTAATGTGAGAAAAAATTATTCATAATACCAACAAACAATGGAAAACAATTAATATTCAATTAATCATGAAATATGAAGAAATTACATGATGAAAATTACTATTTTTTGTAACGATAAAAGAAAGCTTGAATAACAGAAACTTTTAAGTGTATATGGAAAACTAAGTGCAAAATTATTTTGCATTTTAATAGAATTCTAATCAAAATTGCAATGAAGTCTTTGAGGAGCTCACCAAACTAAAGACATTTCATCATAAGAATCAAGAGGGGAATGTATCTACTTTTTTAAAGGAGAGTACTATATACAAGTACATTTCCAGTCACACAAATACGGCACTAATGAAGAATTAAATGACATTAATGAGAGGAAAAATTGACAAACTCAGAAAATGACTCAGGTATTTGTGAATACTGCTTATATAATAAGAGATGAATTTGGGTGCCGGGCACGGTGGCTCACGCGCATAACCCCAGCACTTTGGGAGGCTGAGGCAGGTGGATCACCTGAAGTCAGGTGTTCGAGACCAGCCTGGCCAATATGGTGAAACTCCCTCTCTCTCTCTACTAAAAATACAAAAGTTAGCTGGGCATGGTGGCAGGCATCTGTAATCCCAGCTACTTGGGAGGCTGAGGCAGGAGAATCGCTTGAACCCGGGAGGCAGAGGTTGCAGTGAGCTGAGATGGCACCAATGCACTCCAGCCTGGGGGACAAGAGCGAGACTTCGTCCCAAGGGAAAAAAAAAAAAAAAGAAGAAGAATTTGGAAGCAGTGTAAAAGTTTTATTTCATAACTAATACTGAAACAATTGTTTACACATTTACGAATAATATATTAGATCCTCATCTTATATCGCACATTAAAATATATTGCAAGCAATTGACAAGCTAAATCTGAAAAAATAAACCATCAAAGAAAATAGACATGAATAGCTATTTGATAGAGTAGGGAAAGGCTTTGTAACCATAAGAACAAATGAAGGGATAATAAAGGAAAAGCCTGATTGATTTTACTAGCTAAGATTTTTAAACTTCTGAGCACCTAAAAATGCCATACACAGAATTAAAAGACTACAAAAAAATAGAATATGGGTAACCTATCCACCAGATGAAGGCTTAATGTATTTCATTTATGAGAGAGAGAACTGCTACCTGCTAGTGAACACTCCAATAAACAAATGAGCAAAGGGCATGAATAAGGCAATTTATAAAATAAAAAATCAATGGAAAATAAACACTACATAAAATAGTCAAGTTCATGCGAAATCAAAGAACTAGAACATAACACAATAATGAGATGGTACGCTTCACACATCAAACTGGCAGAGCTGCTGTGTTTTTGCTTTGCTTTGTGTTTTTGTGCCCAGGTTTGTGAAGCACAGAAAAAGTCCAGCTGTCTCAGATGAAGGTGCATATTGCTGCTGGCTCTCTGGAGGGCCGTCGGGAACCAGAGATCCAGTGTGTTTAATCAGGTCATGCTCTTTAGGAAACAACTTTAAAGAAATCATTAGAGAAGTGCACAGAGATAGATGAACAGTGATGTTCATCACAGTGATATGTATAATGCCCCGAAAATTAGCAGCCACCTAAACATCCAACAATTGACATATACAACGTAAGAGACAACAATAAGGGACAGGTCAAAAAAAGTCTGTAGTATATCTAGGTGGTAAAATAGCTTTTAAGATCACGAATGGGAAATGATTTAATGAGGTAGAAATCTCCAAAATAGAATGGTAAACAAATGAAACTGACCCACGTATCCCGTCTGATCATCTGTTGGTTTCTGAGAGAAGGGAGCAGAAGACGGAGACAGAGAAGACAGAAAGTAAGAAAATACGCCATAATTTAATTTTTTGATGATACGTAGTTTTCTGTATTTCTAGTTTTTACAATGAGAACATATTACATGTACAAATCAGAGGGAAAATAGTAAGTTTTCAAATTTTATTCATTCGACACTTTTAAAAGTACAATGTTCTCCAAGGTTATCATCTTAGCAACTCTCCTAAATATTCCATTGTGTGTTCAGATACATTGACGCTGTCTGTCCAGAATTCCAAAAGCTGCCAACAGCCATTTTAGACCC